GGATGTATACATGGTTAATGTGGATGAAAGAAAGTGCACATGCAGGGAATGGGATCTCACTAGAATCCCTTGTAGGCATGCCATGGTGGCTATTAACGCTAGGACGGAAAAAGCAGAAGATTATGTATAACATTGGTATAGGAAGGAGAAGTTGAAAGCTGCTTATAAGCATGCTGTACCTGTAACTGAAGGGATGAATCAGTGGGATAAAACTGGAATACCACCTGTTCAACCCCCACCAGCCAGGAAAATGCCAAGAAGGCCAAAAGGGAAGAGGGTTTTGGAAGAATGGGAAGGGCACACTAACATGAGTCGAAAAGGGAGACAAATGACCTATCAAAAGTGTTTCCAAAAAGGACACAATTCAAGAAAATGCAAAGCACAAGGACCCACCACTGTAAGTTTTAATTTTTTAATTTTAGAAAACAGTGTAAATGACAGGAGGTTTAATTTAGATATATTTTAACTTGTTGTAGGCCCCTCAACCTAAAAATACCAATGCAAGTGAAGAGCAAGTTCCTGTTGAAGATTCCCAACATCCCACAACAGTCACTGAAAATTATGTAACTTTTTGCAATTTCTTTTTTTCTCAACCTGAAAAGATGCCCCTCATTGTCCTATGCTTGTACAAACTGTTGGACTATTGTGTAATAAACCATGTACCATTTTTTTTTTTTTCAGGATTTTCGAATTCCTTTGAGTCAAGTGGTGAACCCAACGCCTGTCAATGATCCAATGTCTGTGCAGAATCAGAATGAAGAGAATACCAATCCAGCAACTGTCCAGCAACAAAAAAATAGAGTTCAAATACCTACAAAAAGGCAAAACAAAAAGGTTAGTTCCTAAAAAATATAGTTAATGCACACCTTGATTTATCTAAGATCATATTAATAATTTATGTAAAATTTTTTAGGGCCGAAGGAGTTCAGCATCAACAACTACGAATCCCCCTACAGTTGCACCACATGCCACTATAGAAACTCCACAGCAACCTAAAAAAAGAGTGAAGACAACTGCAAAAGAACCACCAAGACATAGGGCAAAAAGTGTTGGTAATAGGTCAAACCAATAAAAAAGGAAGTTGTTGCAATATGTTTGTTTGATACTGGACAATTGGTAGTATATTTTGCTTTGTGCTTGTGTTTGGCAAATAAGAGACAGTTGATTAGCAAGCTAGTTTTTGGTGTATGCTTGATACTTGACACTGAAAATGAGAGATTTTTTGTGTGTAAGCATTGCTTGATACTTTGTACTATGTGTATCTAATCTTTGTTTTTTTGGTAATTTATGTGTATCTTGCATGTTTGGTTTTATGCACTTAGTGCCCAGCATTTGGAAAATATGCATTAAATTTCCCTAATTTCTAAAATGAATGTTGAACTCACAGGAAAACTCACTGAAAAACATGCCATACACATTGCAACATCCACATTTCATCACATTTTTGGAAAATAACACTTTTGGAGATGAGATGAGATGAAATTCACAATATATCATTACCATTACCATCTGGTTTCAGTACATACAACATTCTACATCTCATTCACTTCCTAAGTACAAACAACCCAGCAATCACTGCCATAACAATAAAAAACACCAAGCAGACAAATTGACTAATTATGGTTGCTTGAGAGCTTCTCATCTCTACCTTCTTCACTTTCTTCTCTAGCATCCTTATCTTTCTATCCATTAATCTACTTTGTGTCTTCATGAGTTCATTTTCCTGCAACAATTTGGCATTTTCCTTCATCAAATCTTCCTTTTCCTACATCAAGTTTCCCTTTTCCAACTTCAACTCGCCATTCTCTTTCTCGATTCTTTCTTTCTCCTTCAAATTTCTGGATTCCTTATCTTTATATATTAGTAGTAAATCCCTAGCTTTTCCCTCAATTCTGTCCTCACCAGGTAAGAAATGGAAATATGGGCATTGACCCTAATACAATCAACTGTTAAATCAAACCTTAAAAAAACTTAAAACTATGAACAAAAACCCAAAAATCTGCATTTTATCTTACCGTTATCTTCGGACAACAATGAAACCTCATTCCCATATTTTGGTAAGTGAATGCAGTTCGGATAACAGCAGGTAACCCACACTCGCACCTAAACTCTGCAGATCCGATCGAACCCACACTTCGTGAAAAAGAACCCACACTTCGTGAAGAAGAACTAGCCTCCATAAATCTTGCTGGGGATTATGTTTCGCAAAGAAAGAAGAAGAAAAAGGATTCTAGGGTTTCACAGGTCATGGAAGAAAGAGAGAGAGTTAGCTGTGGATGGGGAACCCGATTGAAATTGAGGGAAAAAACAATATAATATAAATCTCATGTGGGCCCCACAAAAAGTGAATCTGAAAAGTGGGGAAGCAATCTGACGTGGAAAAATGACAGGGTGTCAAAAATATCCTTGCTGGATTTACACGTCATTAAAAATAAAAAAAGCTGGTGATTTTGTAGCATCTTAACGGGTCACCTGACGTTTAACTGACGGAAGGACCATTTTGGTACCAAAAATGAAAGTTCAAGGATAATTTTGGTATTTTTTAAAGCTGAGGGACATTTTTGGTACCAAAGTGCAAAGTTGAGGGACCAAAATGGTACTTAAACCTTTTAAATTCTATAGGTGTGTGTTACATTATCTTCCCGTGGTACTTTTTCTAATTGACAATGCATAAAACAAAAGCTAAACATCCAATGGTACTAAGCCTTTTTTCTTTTTTGCTAAATAAATTAGATTCTCAAAGGTGGAGTTGGAATGTGGAACATATTTCTCCCCTTGCGGATGCTCTCCCTGGCGCCGCCACTAATGTCAGTATGATCACTTAATGAGATAAAACTAATGCTTTAATTTGGCCAGAGAATATCTTATTAGGGTGGTACATGAATAATTCTTGAGTAATGATAGAAAACATTAAAATTTATTACTAATCATGTGATATAAATTATATTATTAAATTAATTAATGTATGTAACATTATGAGTTCTATAAAATAAAAAAAATTAAATTATTAAATAATATAAAATTTATTTTTTAATATTTTAAACAATGTGATTTATATCGCGTCATTGATTTTAATTTTTGATCTTATTTATCATTATTTATAATTATTATTTTTTATTTCAATTACATTAATATACAAACATAATTTTTTTACAATAATTTTTTAATTTCAAATTAATTATTTTTTATTTTTTAATATAAATAAATATTTTTCCCCTTTAATTTTATCCTTATCTATTTACTTTATGTGATCATTCAATAACAAAAAAAAACCTATCTTTATCTTTTATTTTTATTTTAAGAGTTGTAGAGAAATACAAATATTATCTCTAAACCAAAAGAGTAAAAAGAAAAAATTAATTCATAAGATAGGGGTAAAGAAGTAAAATTTCAGTACAAAACCCGTCGCCGTGGCAATTTGGTTACTGTATTTTGAAATTTGAATTATTATAGTTTCATTCTGAGTTGACTGGGGTCATTGTTGTAAATATAATTGTTTGGGCTTGGGCTTGGGCTTGCTTGTGGTTCTCCGGTGCTGGGACTTTCCATTCTCTTGCTGTGATCTTTTGTTGGATCCATCATCTAGTCAGCGCTTCTTTCCAATTCTGCCCTTTGCCTTTTCGCATCAGAACTGGATCTAGGGAAACAACTAAGATCAGGATCACGAAGTCCTAACTCGATTAGGAGTAGCTTAATTACATATATAAATATAAATATATATCTATGCAATGCTTGATCATAAGTACTTTTCACAAGGTGTTATTCGTTAAACATGGCTGGAAGAGTGCAAGGGTATTGGATTTTTTATCTTGTTAGAGAAATTTTGGCAAGGCTTCCACTCAAGTCTCTGATGCGATTCAAAAGCTTATCAAAGCAGTGGAAATTTGAAATTTCCGGAGATAAATTCAATAGGTTCAGAAAACAACTTAGTGTGGTGGAGCACAAGGATTTCTGGGGCAAAGACCTTGGTGGAGACTCTCACAGCTTGTTGTATTGAGAATAGACAGTACCAATATTGACAGCCTTGAGGTAAATATCCATCCAATCAAAAAAATTAAAATTCCGCCGAGAACCTTAGAGGCCACACATCAAACTCACGCTGTTGTGAACTGCCGCGGCGTCTTTTGCTTTTTCATAAACTTAGAGAAGCTAATTATAGTTTTGTAGTTTGGAATCCGTTAACCACAGAACATAAGATATTTTCACGACCATACGAAATTGGTTGGATGAGCTTTGGTTTTGGCTATGTGTAACTGCACCAAACTTGCTATGCTGCTGTTCGAGCGGGAAGTTTTGGATTTATTCATTATTTTGGTTGTAAAAGAATTACTGTCGTACATCCGAGGTTAAGCATCTCGGACCTGCTCTTACACTATGATTACTCGGCTGATGATTACAAGTTCATATACGCCTCGGGTTCGGATACAGGAGAAACCAAAGTTGAGTTCTTGAGTTTGAAGACTGGTGTGGGGAATACCGCTCTAATTGACTTAAGTTACCGTTTTGAAATTCGCGGCTTTGCTAAGAATGTCAATGGCTACCTCTACTGGCTTGCTGTAAATTGTGAAGAGCATTATGGTGGGATTGTGATTTTATGTTTGTATTTGGAGAAAGAGGTAATAAGTGAAGTGACATCCTGCGTGTGGATAAGGTGTTGAATGGACGACGGGGATGTTACTTGAATGTTTTGGAGGGCTCTCTTTGTCTAATTGGCTATTTCACTGTAACATGGCCTTTTGACGTGTGGATGATGAAGGAAGACCAGATTACATCAACAAAATATTGGATCAAATTCATGACAATTCCCGCTACATTCTGTTTGACCCCTAATCTCTTATTGACGTGTGGATGATGAAGGAAGACCAGATTACATCAACAAAATATTGGATCAAATTCATGACAATTCCCGCTACATTCTGTTTGACCCCTAGTCTCTTACGTTTCATCAAAAATGGTGTCCTGTACAGAGTCTGCACTAACGATTCCCAAGAATTTTCTCTCTACAATCTTTTAGATGGGTCGGTCAATAAGATTGTGGCACGTGGTTATGATTTTAGTGGCCACTTTTTGCCTTTCCTTCCATATCACTGAAGTCTAGTCTCTCATCCGGTATGAATTTTCTCAATTTCATTGTTTCAAATGATAGACCAACATCTAAAATGTCAAGTGGTAGTTTGTGGCATGACTGAATAGGAGGTTGATGGCATGGATTAAAGAAATAAGAGAGGATTTTTTTTTATTATTGTGTAATTAAAATTTTTCTAAACAAACAGTAAATACATTTTATTTTAATCTTTTGTTTTTTTAATAAAATTATCTATTATTTGCCCTTGATTCATGATAATCGATCTTCGGAACATACCCTCTTCCCAGCACTCCCAAATTAAGAGAGTTGCAAGATGGCCTTGCCTATGTCTTATTTCGAACGCTCCAGTATTATATTGCTTACTTCTAACACATGTATAAATTTAATTTATATATTTTTATCATAAATTTATATTAAAAAAATAAAAATTAATATTCAATCTATTAACTGTCTAATTATATTAATTTATTTGATATTTATATTAAAATTAATATTAACTTTTACTATATTTTTTATGTGTATTTATGACAAAAAGAAAAAAAAAACTCTTAATGGGTGTCAAGGAGAGGTATATTAGAAAAATAAAAATTCACTTAGTTCTCAAAAAATAAAAGTTTACCTAATTCTTTGTTTTAATTTGTTTTAAATTGTTCACTTCTTGTGGATATTCTCCAATTTATTTTTGAAAATTTGTTATCTGTTTGACCAATCCTAGTTTGATGAGGCCAATGAATACATAAAAAGTAGAGTATTTGAAATTTGTAATTATAATTCTTTACTTGATCATGCTTGGTTGGTGATAATGATTATTTTTAGTTTTTTAAATTTCTCAGTAATTATTAGCTAGGCACCAACCAAACATATATGACCCTCAAGAGAGATTGTTTCGGGGTGATTATTTTCTTGTTGCTCACCGCTTCCCAAGTCCCAACCTACATGGACCATCAAGCAAGGTACATGGATCTTACGAGTAAGATATTGGTTTATCTCAATTTAAATTTTTATAGGTGTGTGTTGCAGTATCTTCCTGTGGTGCTTTTCCTGCTTTAACACTACATGAAACGAAAGCAGAACATTTAATAGTACTAAGCCTCTTTTGTTTTGCCAAATAAGTTAGATTCTCAAAGGTGGAGCTGGAGTACGTCGAACATATTTCTGGCTATTAAAGGAATAAATAAGTAGTAGTTAGTACAAATTGCTCGTTCTTAGTTAGTCTTACATATATAGGCACTCTTAGCACTCTGATAGTGGCAGCCAGCTCTTAATTAACCTTCCTTGGGACTACCGGCTGTATTAGTCATTAACTTAATTGGCTTAAGTCAGTAACTAAGCTTAAAACATGAGTTAGAAGT